CTTGGTCGGTTTAGAAATCAGCTTTGCTTTTACCTCTATAAGGTTACCATCATTGGTCTTCAGTTGAGGAATTCTTCATCACAAGTTGACAACAACAACGACGTTCAGTCAGTTAATGCATACTAAGGATAATGTCGATTTTCGTTGTATGGTACTTCAACGATGTTTTACAAAGAATTGTCGCTTAACGAACGATTTCAATTCACATAAGGAATCGCATAATGCGTCCTAATGAGTCAAACAATAGTATCAGATACTTTAGATAATAGAGTTTATTGATTCTAAACGTTCGTGTTTGAATCAGCGATTAGATCGCCTTGAGTCCACATGAGGATCTTTGACATCAGCTTCACAGATGTTTCTCAACATATATCAACACGAATCGTTCTTCAGGTTCATCTCACTTGCGTGCGACTTTTCTTGTACATATCAACTTCGTCATTCACGATGCGATGCGTACGTTGATAACGTATCAGAGGTTCATACATTTTTTTTATTCTTTTGTTTCTTTACCGAATACGAAAATTCGACTTGAGTCTATGCTCGATATAATTTCAGTACTAACAATTGTTATCAAATGAGAATTTAACACAGTCAATATTTACTAAGTAAATTCTCATACCTTTCCTGGAGCAGAGGGATGCGAGAGTTATGGATGTGATTGACAATTTTTTTTTTTACCCAAAATATATAATATATATTTTTAAATCAAACATTGATCCGAAGATCGTGTTTAAAACCATTTGCTCTGATACCAAATTGTAACACCCTAATCCGTCCAGGTTTACAACCCCTTCCGAACTAAAGTATTCACTTGGTAATCGTATAATTTAAAACTTTTCAAACACACTTTATTCATCATAAATGAAATTCCAAACATAATTGTAGTAAATACGGAGTGTTTAATGCGGAAGCGATTTTTAAACATGATTCATAATAACATAATCATTTATTTTCTCAATAAATCCACCACGACTGTCTCGCCCCTTCTGCTGCCAAGAACATGCCATTCACTCATTCTGTCTACCTGCGTGTAGCAAATAAAACATACTACACGCTGAGCGATGAAGCTGAGTAAGCATATCTAAAGTGTCGAACATCCAAATAAATTGAATCTCAATTCATAATCAACCATTTGATATCATGCACACAATATATGATTCAAACATTCATGATATTCTCAATATTTTATTCCAAGTCATTTGATATTCAACATCTCAACCATGCTCTTAAATTATTCTTAATCTAAGGCCAAATCATTTTATAACAAGCTCTTAGCTATTCCTAGTCTAAGGCAACATTTCTAACCAGGCCCTTAAACTATAAATAGTTTAATGCAGAACACAAGAATCGATAATCCACCCTATGGGTCATGTGGATTACGTACCAACCGAACAAAGATTTGTCAGGTGGGTGATATCCGGTCTGGATCCCGTACGTACGTTTTAACCCGAAATATGAATTGGTCAAGTAGGTATATCTTAGAGTTCTTCTAGATATCCTTAATAATCATCATCAATATACAAGTGGGTATATCTTAGAGTTCTTCTAGATATCCTTAACAATATACATTGTTTTCATAATCACCATTAATTCATTCATTTTTTCTTTAATCATGACTTAATCATCAATAATCATTTTAATCAGTAGGTTTATCATTCATAATTATCCATAATAATTATTCATCATAATGATCATTCAACATAATATTTAATAGCAAACAGCGGCCTAGTCTCGGGTCTTAACACCCGAACTTATCGTCATGCATCACATAATGTTTTATATGCCAAAAACATCATTTATTATACAAAATCATATTTAAATTGTTCTTAATTAATTAGTATTTTCAAATAATATTTCCAAGAATATTTTCGGGACACTGGAATTGAGGAAAAATCGATTTATTCAATAAATTAATATAAAAATCGATTTTTGAATATATATTAATCCATTAAATTTATAAAATCGATTTTTCAACATATTTTAATCGATTAATTTG